TAACAGAACTGTACGACAACGATGACGCAGGTTATTCTATGAAAACCGTCACACTTTCTTTACGTATCAGACAAACTGCACGGTCCTTACGCCGAACGAACGTCCACTGTTCTGTGAAAACTTTGCACTCTGCGTCAACTTTTCATACTTTAACACTCGACATTTTGCTGACGTTAACTGCACTACAGAACTGTCACTTTTTGAGCTCGAGATTGTCAGGTGACGAAAATTCTGCGGCAAATGTAAATACGTCATGTAATTATTTAAATATAAATACTTCATATAAACATATTTTTTTAATTGAAAGAATCAACAAAATACAAGACGCAGACGTGTTATTATTTGCAAAAAATAGGCCATGACAACTTTTGAGGATTATCGTATTTTGACTGTGGATTATAAGGCACACTGTCATTAAATGGTCTATTTTTTAACTTTTTTCACAAATAAATCGCACCAGACTTTAAACGAAACACAACAGTTGGATGGGTGAGTGGTTTTGTTTGTTTGGTGCGTTCACGGTGACTCTGGGCTTTGTTCAGTTGTGGCGTGTAGGGAGGGTGCTGTCTGGGACCAACGGATTGTCGGCGTGTTCGCAGTGACTCAGTTGTTCAGTCGTGTCTAGAAGTGGCACGTTGCGCTCACTTTTTCGGCGTGGAGTGATGAATGTGGCTGCGGGTGTTTTTCGTTGCGTGGTCGCTGTCTACTCCGTGCGTGTTTGCGTGCGCTGGAGAATAGGTTGGGTGTAATTGATGACCAAATTGGAAGAAATGGGGATAAAATCTGATGCAAATTGAAGATACAAGAAATTTGGGAACACAGGGTTTAATTTTGGAAAGAGAAAAAAACAACAACTTAGAACTGAGGGAACATAGGGCTGAGGGTGGTGCGGCTTTGTAGTTTACTGAAGTCGTACTGGGATACCCGAGTGGATTCGTGTATAGGGCGCTCTGGATTGCGTTGCGCACGGTCATTTTTTGATGGGGTTATAGGCTTAAGAGCGTGTCTAATAGCCCGGAAAATACGGTACTTCCTAGGGCCAGTTCAAGTGGTGAGCGGCAGAGGGGCTGGGGGACCGATCAAAGGGGCGTGGAGAGCCGAAATTGGCCCGCGGGCCTTAGTTTGATGATCCCTGTTTTATAGGATTAGGTGTTTTAAGCGCTTTTTACTTCAGCCTAAACCTGTTCGCTCGTGATCCATGGGGTCGTAGTCTTTGTTTTGGTTTGTTTTGTTCTGTAAAGCTGCAAAATGAGCGAATAAAATAAAAACTAAATAAAAACCGGTTGCTATGTAAAACTGAACTTACATTTATACACGCAAGTTTTATTACGTGTAGCAACAAGTGTATGTCTTTATGTGTCTTTCTCTTTTTACCACCTCCCTGTGTCTGTTTCTCTGTTGGTTTCTGCACACCTCTTCTCCTTCTTACCTCTTCCTCTCCCTCCCTCCCTCCCTCCATTCCTGGCCACTATACTCCCCGCTTCCCTCTCTCTCTGTGATAGGAATACTGAGTGCGACGCTATTTAATTTTAGGGTGTCTGCTGCCCGTGCCCGCTGCTCTGCGCGTGAAAACACAAAAAAACCCCAGCGTTCCTATTTGTTTAAGTGACAATGACAACATCCATATTTTTCTCCCCTTTCATTCCCGGCCGCCGTTCTCGCCCATAACGTGCTCGGCGGCGATTTGTATGCGTTCCCAACAGCCACGGACGCTACACAAATTGTCTGAGCCAGTCTACAGTCAATACGGCGCTCATTTTAAAGAACAATGCCAGCGCGCCCGGCCTGTTTACCATTCTCATAGCGTGTCCGTGTGTGTCTGATTTGAAAACCCGCCAGCTTAACCTTGAGATAGCCAGTTTGTAAATGCAGCCGAATTCACCCGGCAATTTGGCAGGATTGTTGACATGTGTGGGAAGCTGGTGTGCCGGGGTTGTGAAAAGTATCGAAAATCTGATATTAATCGAGGCTAAAACCAGGATCGAAACTAGACAATCATTTGAGGAATTAATGCTTACAAAAAGTCACATTCACAAAGCAAAAATGAACCTTTCTTAAAGCTTAAAACTCTTATTTTCTGATCTATGTTCTAATGTTGTTTCCTGGTCAAAAACAGACCTAGAGTTGTTTTGTTTCATCCACAAATCCTGCATTTTTAGGCTGTGTTCTTCTCTGAAAAACATTGAAAACACTCTGTTCCACCTTGTGATATCATGTGGCAAAACAACAAGTGCTCTGTATTTTTATCCGTTTTATTTATTTATTTAAAGCAAGGACAGTTCCACAAAAAAAACATTAATCTCGCATAGAAAAGATGCTCCGTGCAAGATTTAGCTACAAGCTTTTAAACTCCATACACCTTCACTAGAATAATTTGGATATTTTCAGCGCTGAAAGTACAAATCTCTACTGAACTAAAGCCGAAATCAGGTTTTAACTTGAAAACAACCACGTCGTGACATCACAAGGTGGAACAGAGCATTTTGAGAGATTTTTGGAGATATATACAGCGGCGTCTCGTGGTCATTTAGGAGCAAATAAAGGAAAAAAATCGGACTCTTGTTGGCTTGTTGTGATGACGTTTATCCCTCAGCCCTATGTTCCCTCATTTCTAAGTTTTGTTTTGTTTTTTTCTTTCCAAAATTAAACCCCGTGTTCCCACATTTCCTTTATCGTCAAGTTTGCATCAGATTTTATCCCCATTTCTTCCAATTTGGTCGTCAATTACACCCAGACTACAGATATAATGTAGAGGTCATGGTGCAAAGGACTCTAGGTTGAAATGACTCTGAATCATCCCTTTTAAATGTGATACGAAAATAAAAATGATTTGACTTAGAGGTTGACTTTGAGAAAAATCTCAGACATAAGGGAACATAGGGCTGTGGGAACATAGGAGACATACACAGACGAATAATAAAGAGCTACTCAAACCAGAGGCGGCGCTACCATTAGGCAAAAGTAGGCGGCTGCCCGGGGCCCCAAACCCTAGAGGGGCCCCCAACTAATTTGACCTCAGTGCCACAAATCGCCAAGGCCTCAATCTAAATCCAATCCAACTTTATTTGTATAGCACATTTTATAAACAAAACAAAACAGTTTCCAAACTGCTTCACATAGCAATTTAAAACGTTTTACTTAAAAAACACCCAGCAGAATTATGTTTCAACCATAAGGAAACTAATAGAATAAATAAAATAATCATAAAATCAATGAACAAAAATAATAAAATTAAAAATTTTATTAAAATTAAAATAGATAAAAACAATAAATAATAAATAAAATAAAATAAATAAATAAAGGGGGCCTCAGAGCAATTTAAATTTTCTCTCAATATGATATTGAATGAGAAAAATGAGAGAAAAATATTATATACACTACATATGATTTTTATTAAACAAAAATTGTACTAGCAAAAGGTTATTTAGTAGGCGACTGAACTAATACGACAAGTTTCCAATCCACCATAATTCAAATAAAGAATAATGAGGAAAAACAGACAATAAATATATTATAAAAACAAATATGGTGCATTATAGTGAGAGCCCCAAACTTAAGCTGACCTGGGGCCCCCAAATTGCTAACTCCACCACTGACCCAAACACAAATCCAGATCTGTTTTTGAGGACATAACATTCTAACATAACTAAAAATGAGTAAATTTAGCAATTTTATGACCTTTAAGAATAATCTTGAGCTGTATCAGAACAAGTATAAGAGCACACAGACTAGTACACGTCTGCTTGGTAATATAAAAGAAAGTACTATTATGTAATGTTGTCAAAATACAGTCTTTTTTTTATTCTCATCGTTGTATAGGAATTGTTACTGAGTATCGAGTCAGTTCAGGTTTCAGATTTCAGTATCATGCCATTGCTGCTCAGGTGGAGTTTGCTGTTTAACTGTAGATTTGTTGACCTGGTTTATGGTTCATTTCTCCGTCTCTACTGGGCCTATCCACATGAAACCACAACTGGCACAAACCCAAATGAACAAAAGGGAAATGCCTTTTTCACAATAGCTTCAGAAACTAGGGCCATTATTCAACCCCAAAGACGTAATTGTTGTCAGCCGTGAGATTAATATGGTAAATTTCAGCAGCCAATCCCGAAAAAATAATGAGAAGGTTCAGCTTTGGTGTGTTGTAAATTTGGATATTTCTTTCAAAAATAGTGAATCTCTCGTACAGTTTTAGTGTATGTGTGTATAGTATTTACACATAAGATTTAGGCAACTTTTGGTACTAATAAATAGGGTGTAACGATAATATATCATGATATCGTCTCTCAATAATATCGTGGGCCGTCACAATATATCGAATCATAAGTTTCTTTGCTTAAATTCATGTTACGGTGCAGCAATAGCTTAAAAAAAACAGTGGGAACTACATCGACCATGATCCTTTGCTCCATTTTGGTGCAAACTGCGTTAAGAAATAGCAGTTCTAAGCACTTTTAAGTCTTATTTTTTCAAGTTTTGTCAAGGGATTTTAAGAGAAAAAAGTGGCATATTCACAATTTTGTTAGCCTCCAAAAAATATCACAATAAATCTGTACGGTGAGATGAATATTGTGAAAATATAGTGAAAATATTGTGAAAATTTGTACCATGAGATTTGGATATTGTTACATCCCTACTAATAAAAGACATTTTAAAAGTTAATTACAGAAGTAGCATTAGTTTAAAATAACAACTGTACTCAATGAAAACCTAGGTTCAAGATGTACTTTTGTGGAGAATTATAAACTTGCGTTCTTACTTATAGAACAGTTAAACTGATGTAGACATTACATAAAGAAACTTATTGAAAGTAAGTTGTCATAAATTAGCTTTGTGAGTTAGAAAAACATTGGAAATCATGTTGACAGCTCACACAAATATGGGTTTAAATAGAATAAAATGGCTTTCGATTCATAGATGTCAAGCCTGAACAGCTGTATTGTTGCTTTTGTTTATCTGTGCATCAGAATTCACCGGTGCGATTCTCCTTCTTCCCGCAGGTCCTGAGTCTTGTTTACACGCGAGCGAGGAGCACTGCTGAGCGGGAGCAAAGCGCAGCCTCATGAGTGGGCCCCGATCGCTCCCACCAGAGACACCCCTACCGCTCCGACTGCCAGCTCCGCGCCATGGACTTAACTAAAATGGGCACCATCCAGCTCCAGAACCCCAACCACCCCACCTCCCTGCTGCACAAGGCCAACCAGATGCGCCTGGCGGGGACACTGTGCGACGTGGTCATCATGGTGGACACCCAGGAGTTCCACGCCCACCGCACCGTGCTCGCGTGCACCAGCAAGATGTTCGAGATCCTCTTCCACCGCAGCAGCCAGCACTACACCCTGGACTTTCTATCGCCAAAGACCTTCCAGCAGATCCTCGAGTATGCCTACACTGCCACGCTCCAAGCCAAGGTGGAGGACTTGGACGACCTCCTGTACGCCGCCGAGATACTGGAGATCGAGTATCTGGAGGAGCAGTGCCTCAAGATTCTCGAGACCATCCAGTCATCGGACGAGAACGACGTGGAGGTCAGCGTCAACGATGATGACGAAGAGCGCAAAGGCCACAAGAATTCCCGAAAGCATTCCGCCGATAGCCACTTTCAGCACGTGTCCGCCATGTCCGGGATGGTCGACCAGAGCCCGTCGGTGTCCACATCCTTCGGGGTTTCGGCGCTGAGTCCGACCAAAGCCGCCGTGGACAGCCTGATGAGCATCGGACAGTCCCTCCTCCAGCAGGGCTTCACCTCCGAGCAGATCCTGCACGCCACCAACTCGCACCACCACCACCTCATGCCCGAGATCAAGACGGAGATGATGCAGGTGGACATGGGCGGCAACGGACACGGCAGCCCGCACCACACGGAGGCCAGCAACGGCGAGCGTAGCGGCGAAGACCGGAACCGCGACGGACCGGGAACGCCAACGAGGAGCAGCGTCATCACCAGCGCCCGGGAGCTGCACTATGTCCGAGACGACGGGATGGGCGACCAGCCGGTGGAGGTCGGCCAGATGGGGTTGGAAGCCATGGCGGGGATGACCGAGAAGCACCTGGCGCAATTCTACTCGCTGCCCACCAATCACAAGGCGGAGGCGGTGATGTCGATGCCCGTTTCCATGGCGTCGGCGCTGCCCATGTCCCCGGCGCTGGCGATGTCCATGGACTTCAGCGCGTACGGGGGACTGCTGCCGCCCAGCTTCATCCAGAGGGAGTTCTTCAACAAGCTGGGCGAGCTGGCGGTGGGCATGAAGCAGGAGGCGCGCAATCAACACGAGAGGTGCAACGTTTGCGGCGCCGAACTGCCAGACAACGAGGCCGTGGAGCAGCACAGGTAGGACCAATATTTACTTTGCTTTTCTTCCGTTCACCCTCCTTATTTATTTTGCGTTTGCATTTTTATGCCCTAACTCTCAAACATTTCCCAAACTTGAAGTGCAACGTTGTTTTCATTTCCACCACAGTACACAATCACCATTTCACCTATTTAAATATATTCTTTGGACAATATAAACGTAAAGGTGCACTGTGTAACATTTCTGGTGCATGATCCAACATCTGCTGCTTTAATTAATAAGTTTAATGCCGTGCGGTGGAACATTCCAGGCAACGCACTAACCTCTCTAAAGAGCAGTGGTTCTCGACCTTGTCCAGTCGTGACGCCCATAGTAACAAGCACTCGCAGTCACAAAAAGTAAACTCCCCACAAAATGTATGATTTTATTTCAAGATATCGGCTGATGAATTTGTTACTTAAAAAAGGAATTATTTACAACTGACCTTTGCATTTGGCTCTTTTAAAAAAATACTCCTTTCATGTAAATGTGTACGCAATTTGGTACACCTGAAATAATTCAAATTCTGTACAGACAAGCAGGTGGTAGAGGTTACATGGTGCACCTTTTAACTATGTCGGGGGAGGAAAATATCTCTCTCTCTCTCTATATATATATATATATACCTTCCATGACCAATTTTCCAGAGTTTTCCCACAGTTTACTTTTTTTTTTTATATATATCTTGACATATCTTAAAATAAACTGATGAAAAATCATAACAAACTAAATGACAGTAGCAGCAGCAGTAGTAGTAGTAGTAGTAGTAGTAGTAGTAGTAATAGCAGCAGAAGTAGTAGTAGTAGTAGTAATAGCAGCAGAAGTAGTAGTAGTAGTAGTAATAGCAGCAGCAGTAGTAGTGCTTTAGGAGTAGTAGTAGGTGTATTAGTGGTAGTAGTTTAAGAATAGGGGCAGTAGTAGTAGTAGTAGTAGTAATGGTTTAGGAATAGTAGGGGTAGTAGGAGGAGGAGTAGTATGAGTAGTAGTAGGGGTAGTAATACTAGTAGTAGTAGTAGTGGTAGGGGTAATAGTTATTGTAGCAGTAATAGTAGTGGTAGTAGCAGTAGGAGCAATAATAGTAGGAGGAGTGGGAGTAGGAGTTGTAGTAGTAGTAGTAGGGGCAGTAGTAGGTGTAGTAGTAGCAGTAGTAGTAGTAGTCGAAGGGGTAGTAGTCATGGGGTAGTAATAGTAGTCGTAGGGGTAGTAGTAGTAGTTGTAGTATTCATATGGGTAGTAGTCACCGTAGTAGTAGTCGTCGTTGTAGTAGTAGCAGTAGTACAAAAATGGACTTCATTCATATTTCATATACAGTTTTATTGTAATATTTTGATACTTTGCAGCTGGTGTCATTGACATTCTCTGGGTGTGTGCCGCTAACTGTAGGCACTGCTCCGTCTGAGGCTTTATTAGACTTTAATCTGTGCTTTATTTTAACACAATCTCACCATAAACCCTGGAAAAAACAAGTTAAAATGACTTAAATCAGGAACATTCTACTTTATTTGAGTAGAATAGACTAGGATCTTAAAACTTTTTTGCCAGTGTTTGGTAATGTGTGCATTGTGTCGCCATGGTAACGCTTCAACAATCCCCCCATTAGCGATCGCCTACAGGTAGAACACCCCCAGCGCGACTTCACTGCGAAAAATATCAATTGTCAATGTGTCAAAACAACAACAACAACAACAGGCCGAGGCGCGTACACACTTAACACTTGTTTGTTTACGTTCACGACCTCGCGGCGCTAATATTTCTCATCTCAAATGGTTATCACGGCCCACGGGGAGAATAAGCTCGCTGCTATGTGTAAAATGTAAATAATTCTGGCAGATCCAACGCGAGTGTCTGGCAACCTCCGTCTCATCCCGTAATAGCAACACCCAGGTGACTGCGTATAAGCCACTGTCTGAGGCAATTAGCCACAGTTTGCGAGGTAGAAGAAGCAGCTCGCGAGTACTTACCAAAGCAGCGCTCTTTTATCCAGGACAGCCCCACTTGTGCTGTAACCGCCGCTGGGAGATATGGATGTCACTGGAGGATGGCTCTTTTTTGTGCTTTTTCAAGTCTAAATTTGGGCTAAGTGAAGTTATGACTTGTCAAAGCTGAAAGTGTGAAGCGAGGATAATGTGCCCCAAACCAGGATCCCTCCATTTTGTTATATTGCTAATTTGTCATGTTTTGGTTTACTTTTGTCATTTAAGACTAGTTTGGTTTTGTACTTGCTAAAACGAAGTCTAGATTTGGGTTAAAACGAAGTCTAATTTTCGGTTTAAATGAAGTGTGAATTTTGGTTTAAACGAAGTGTGAGTTTTGGTCAAAAGAAGTCTGGATTTGGGTTAAAACGAGGTCTAGATTTGAGTTAAAACGAGGTCTAGATTTGAGTTAAAACGAGGTCTAGATTTGGGTTAGACAAAACAAAGTGTAGATTTGGGTGAAAACAAAGTGTAGATTTGGGTGAAAACAAAGTGTAGATTTGGGTTAAAACCAAGTCTGAATCTGGGTTAAAACCAAGTCTGAATCTGGGTTAAAACCAAGTCTGAATCTGGGTTAAAACCAAGTCTGAATCTGGGTTAAAACCAAGTCTGAATCTGGGTTAAAACCAAGTCTGAATCTGGGTTAAAACCAAGTCTGAATCTGGGTTAAAACCAAGTCTGAATCTGGGTTAAAACCAAGTCTGAATCTGGGTTAAAACCAAGTCTGAATCTGGGTTAAAACCAAGTCTGAATCTGGGTTAAAACCAAGTCTGAATCTGGGTTAAAACCGTCTAAAATTGATTTTAAAAGTCTAAGTTTAAAATTCAGAAGTTGGGACCATGTCATTGTTTTTGCAAGTCTCAAGTAAGTCTCAAGTCTTTAGCCTCAAGTCTGAATCAAGTCCCAAATCAAATACAGGCAAGTCCAAGTCAAGTCTCGAGTCAAGTCCAAGTCATTTGCTTTGAGCTTCAAGTCATTTCAAGTCTTTAAACCAAAGTATCTTAGGTTTTTGCAATTTATATAAAATGTACACTTCACTGCACTTAAAAAGTCATGGTATATTTATATATGAGTATTTATAAAGATTTGTAGAAATGGTAATTTTTCCTTTTTAAATGTCTTGACAAGATCTTTGTGTGAATCATTTCGGTCAGAACAGAAAGAATTCAGATTTTCAGTACTAAATAACAGTTATTTTGTCATGTCATCTGCACTGAAATGGAAGGATCATGTTCTATGTAGTTCCCTCTGTTTTACTGTATTGTACTGTATATTACTGTAGTATATTTGATGATACTGTATTACAGTACTTCAGTTACATCCAAAGTAACAAATAGAGAAGTGGGCGCGATATGTTCTAGTTTGTTCCTGTAAAACTGAAAAACAAAAAAATTGAAAAAACAAAAGCATTTTCTAAAAAAAACATCTATATATTTTTTAGGAGAAGCATCAAGTCACTGACCTTCAAGTCTAAGTCGAGTCCCAAATCTTGGTCCATTTTATCAAGTCAAGTCTCAAGTCCTAAAAATAGTGACTCAGGTCTGACTCGAGTCCATGTCATGACTAAATTTGGGCTTAATTAAGCTGAGTGAGAACCCAAGATAATACAAATCAAAATAATACATTTTTTGTACATTGCTCATTTCTTTGTCATGTTTTTGTTTACTTTCGCCATTTAAGAGTAGTTCGTTTTTATACTTGTTAAAACTACGTCTAAATTTGCGCAAAATGCATTTTAATACGTCAAAGCTGAGAGTTTGAACCCAATAAGTTCCAATCCAGGAAACTTCCATTTTGCTTGTTTCCTTGTCATGTTTTTGTTTACTTTTCATGCTTCTTTGGATTATTTTGTTGTTTTGTTTGTTACTACGAGTTCTTCCAAGTTTTATCCTTGTTCTTTGTCACGTTTTTTTATTTTCAATCACATTTTAAACCACTTTCACTTTGATCAGAGTCATCATAACGTTTAAACTGGAAAAAACACCAAATTATAATCGAATCAGAAATGAAATAATATTTAAATCGCGCATCATTTTTTGTTAAAGTGAGTCAAACATTTGTGATTTCTGGACATATTTTGGCCTTTTTAGTTTTTACTTCTTTGCCCGAATCGCCGTTTGCAGTTCATTTGGAGATTCTTAACTAGCACCCCCACATTTTAATCCTCGTAAGTGTCACAAAATCTCGTTCTTTGTCGATCGCAGAAAGCGCCGCGCTCCTGGTGAGACCGGTGTCCTTGGAGTTTTTTGTTTTTTTTTCAATTTTCTTTTCTTTTTCGGTAGCGACTGGTGCTGTGTTTGTCAAGGAGGTTGCATTGTGCGCACTTCAAACCGAGCCTTGAGCGTGAGTGCTTATTAAGAAAATCAGTTCAATATTTTGTAAATGTGCCACTATGAGCTCATTTTAAGGGCCCATTTGTTCGGATTTCACGGCGAGTCGGGAGGAGAAGACGGGAGGGGACGCAGCCAAAACAATAAAACAACAAAACCGTCTGGAAATAAAGTGAACTGAACGGCGTTTTTAAAAGAGCAGGATCTGATTTTTACAGTTTTAAAAAAGCAACAAGTTCATTTTAAACATTTCGCAGACGTCCAAAGTTACTCCTTATGCATTCTGAGCAGAGTTTCGTCTACTATCTATAATGCTAATGCGCACTTCCTGATTACCAGATAGCAAAGTGCTTTAGAATGAGATGCAAACAGGACGCGGTGGACTTATTTTGACCTCGAGAGCTGCTTATACACTTATGCACACTTAGTTTTCATAAAAATGCATAGAGGTGTAGGGTCTGTTACCATGGAGATGCTGTTGCTTTGCCTGGAAAGTTCCACAGTATGGCATATCTAGTTTAATTATTCATTCAGTTGAAGTTGTTTTTATTGCTCAAAAAATTATAATAATAATAATTTGTAAACCTGGCATCATGGTGGTAACGTGGAACATTTTGAGCAAAACGGTAAGATCGCCATGGAGACATTAAAGTCGAGGAGAGGAGTTTGTGTTTATACTCTGCTCATGACTGGTTC